GATAACGACCTTCTGTGTCCGCCGTGGGTGTTGATTGACCGTACTTCACTATTCTGGTTGATAAAGGCCAGGGGGGCAGAATCCAACATCCCATCAGGGGGGGGGCGGTCCCGAGATGTTAAGCTTTTTAAAGAGGGGCCTTACATTCATAAATCAAATTCAATGTATTTACCTCTGGTAAATATCAATAACATAGCAATTTTTCAGGGGTAATCAAATTCAATTTGTAATCAAATTCAATTCAATTTGATTAAATTAAATTCAAACTTGATTACCGGTACATAAACTGCATACGTTTTAACTATAGTACAATCATTTGCTGACTTACCTAAATGCTGACGATGTCGTTTTTTTAATGACACAAAAATAGCCTTAAATAGTACCTAGCAAACATTACAAGGAGTTTACACTTGCCACACTAATCTATTTATTAAGCTCTGTATATACCATAAAGTGTATATATAATGTGTTATATTTACTTGTACATTTACACTTTCCAGACTAAATCTACTTATAAGAGGGCAGTACATATAATGGACATGATACATGAACATTTGTAGAGAACGAACTGCGAGCTCTACTCATGAGCATGTGTAAAACCCTGCATCCGAAGGCCATATTACTCCCCAGTGAGTTTGGTGAAACCAAGACTTAAATGACCATTCACTGAAAACATAATCGACCTCATCCTTAAAGTCAATCACATGCCCTTGTGCAGAAACCCACCTCTCTCTCGTAGCGTGTGAATCAGGTATCTCGGGAGAATCGGGTTTTTTTCTTCTAATCTCAAAATTGCATTTGTGAGCCACTGTACTGCAGGTGTGATGCTAGAGATGTCAATTGCTAAGCAACTGCTACCATTCTAATAGCTCTTAAATGCACATGTTCTTGACTTTCAGTGATATTTTAAGGGTGAATATTGTACAATATTGTTACTATTTATATCCAAGCGACCACTGCCTGATGCCAATCTCCCCGATCAACCTTCTTCAATGAAGGAAGGTCACTCCAATCTCTTCCACTGCCTTTGTTGTTTCGAATGCTTTCATCACAGTTCACACTAAAACAATTTCATCTAAACCTCGTATGTTCTGGAAATCACAGGCGCATAGCACGTGTTGTGGCCAATAACGATGCACTTCCCAGCCAGTAAAGAAAAGTGCATTGTGGTAATATATAGAATGGGACGTTTTTTTTTGTAAATAAAGTAATTTGCGCATATTATGTCCCTGCGTCTCAAATTAGCATGCTTGGCTATGTACTGTGTGAAAGAAGTTCAACATACATACATACAATTGATATCAGAATATTTATATATACTGGAGAAATTTGGTGAGCTATAACGCTTTTTTTTAAAGATGTCCAGGAGGTGCATGTCACACCAACAAACAATACAAAAACACGACAGGGGTGCACAGTATAGGAAAGGTAAACAAATTACGAAAAAAAACATGTTTTTATTTCACCAGATAAAACCGACTGAGCAAGAATGCTTTTTCAGAAGCGACTTCAACACAAATGCTGGGCCAACAAAGTGGCTTATCATGTGGCAATGTATAGCAGCCAAATAATCTAAATAATACAGACATACATATTCTTGGTTCTTTCGGTAAAGTCACGTAGAAGGGAAACAATACAAAAATAAAAACAATATTCTTTTATTGTTTTCCTTCTACGTGACTTTACCGAAAGAACCAAGAACATGAATCCCTGCAGTCACGAAAGCTTTAAATCAAAATTTAATACAGAGATGTGTACATTTGGATACAAATTTAGCGACGAGAATAAAAATCAGTCCACAATATGGCCCTGCGTCCATTGTGTGCATTGTGGTCTGGAATGGAACGCATCTTGAGAGTTAGTCCACCGAGGAGATGGAGCAATGAAATCAGCTTGTGTAAATGTATTAAGTATATTACTACATCTTCTTGGTCACGAAAGCTTTAAATCGAAATTTATATTACTACATTTACATTTAAAACGACTCGGTGAGGCTTTCATCCATCCCGCAGTGGATTGGCCATGACCGTGACTGAATAGAAATGTGTATTGTGGTAAATAATAAAAATTTTAATGCGGTCTCAATATTTGATATCGATGTGTTCTTGTCAATATCACCTGATAATTCATCAGCATTTGTTTAACAAGCCTGACTGCTGATGGGACCAAGATTGTTGAAACCGTTCCAGTTTGCTTGCTTGAATAAATGCTACTAAATATCGTCTGCAAATCCAACAAGAGGCTGATCGACTAAAATAGTTTTCAGTATTTGTGGACAGTATGCATCGTCCTACGTAGTATTTGCTTTTACCCATAGTGAGTTTGCGAAAGCCAATAAATGAATGGCCATTGTGGCTGGTTGCATTGAGCACTTTCCGTGGTGTGTTTGTTATTCCTTGTTAATGTGCACAAATTGACGGTTCTTTACGACTCCCTCGGTGTGTTTCATGCAACGTGACCCTGCCGTGGTATGGGAGTCCATCCACCTTTAGCCACATCTCACTGATCAATCATTACACAATCATCACACAATCCTCACTGAGCCATCATCACACAATCCCACTGATCGATCATCACACAATCCCACTGATCAATCATCACACAATCCCACTGATCAATCATCACCCCAATCCCACTGATCAATCATCACACCAATCCCACTGATCAATCATCACACAATCCTACTGATCAATCATCACACCAATCCCACTGATCAATCATCACACAATCCCACTGATCAATCATCACACAATCCCACTGATCAATCATCACACAATCTCACTGATCAATCATCACACAATCCCACTGATCAATCATCACACAATCCCACTGATCAATCATCACACAATCCCACTGATCAATCATCACCCCAATCCCACTGATCAATCATCACACAATCTCACTGATCAATCATCACACAATCCCACTGATCAATCATCACACAATCCCACTGATCAATCATCACACAATCCCACTGATCAATCATCACACAATCCCACTGATCAATCATCACACAATCTCACTGATCAATCATCACACAATCCCACTGATCAATCATCACACAATCCCACTGATCAATCATCACACAATCCCACTGATCAATCATCACCCCAATCCCACTGATCAATCATCACACAATCCACTGATCAATCATCACACAATCCCACTGATCAATCATCACACAATCCCACTGATCAATCATCACACAATCCACTGATCAATCATCACACAATCCCACTGATCAATCATCACACAATCCCACTGATCAATCATCACAACAATCCCACTGATCAATCATCACACAATCCCACTGATCAATCATCACACAATCCCACTGATCAATCATCACACAATCCCACTGATCAATCATCACACAATCCCATTGATCAATCATCACACAATCCCACTGATCAATCATCACACAATCCCACTGATCAATCATCACACAATCACACTGATCAATCATCACACAATCCCACTGATCAATCATCACACAATCCCACTGATCAATCATCACACAATCCCACTGATCAATCATCACAACAATCCCACTGATCAATCATCACACAATCCCATTGATCAATCATCACACAATCCCACTGATCAATCATCACACAATCCCATTGATCAATCATCACACAATCCCATTGATCAATCATCACACAATCCCACTGATCAATCATCACACAATCCCACTGATCGATCATCACACAATCCCACTGATCAATCATCACACAATCCCACTGATCAATCACCCCAATCCCACTGATCAATCATCACACAATCCCACTGATCAATCATCACACAATCCCACTGATCAATCACCCCAATCCCACTGATCAATCATCACACAATCCCACTGATCAATCATCACACAATCCCATTGATCAATCATCACACAATCCCACTGATCAATCATCACACAATTCCATTGATCAATCATCACACAATCCCACTGATCAATCATCACACAATACCATTGATCAATCATCACACAATCCCACTGATCAATCATCACAAATCCCACTGATCAATCACCCCAACCCCACTGATCAATCATCACACAATCCCACTGATCAATCATCACACAATCCCACTGATCAATCATCACACAATCCCATTGATCAATCATCACACAATCCCACTGATCAATCATCACACAATCTCATTGATCAATCATCACACAATCCCACTGATCAATCATCACACAATCCCACTGATCAATCATCACACAATCCCACTGATCAATCATCACACAATCCCATTGATCAATAATCACACAATCCCACTGATCAATCATCACAACAATCCCACTGATCAATCATCACACAATCCCACTGATCAATCATCACAACAATCCCACTGATCAATCATCACACAATCCCACTGATCAATCATCACACAATCCCACTGATCAATCATCACACAATCCCATTGATCAATCATCACCCAATCCCACTGATCAATCATCACAACAATCCCACTGATCGATCATCACACAATCCCACTGATCAATCATCACACAATCCCACTGATCAATCATCACACAATCCCACTGATCAATCAACACACAATCCCACTGATCAATCATCACAATCCCACTGATCAATCATCACACAATCCCACTGATCAATCATCACCCCAATCCCACTGATCAATCATCACAATCCCACTGATCAATCATCACACAATCCCACTGATCAATCATCACCCCAATCCCACTGATCAATCATCACACAATCCCACTGATCAATCATCACACAATCCCACTGATCAATCATCACACAATCCCACTGATCAATCATCACACAATCCCACTGATCAATCATCACACAATCCCACTGATCAATCACCCCAATCCCACTGATCAATCATCACACAATCCCACACACCAAAGAGTGGGGGGGGGGGGTGTACCCCTTTCTCGACTCCTCCCACTCTTCCTTAACGCGTGCGGCGTGCCGAGCGAGCGTCTCGTCGCAGCGACTACTCGGGTCTGCCGCGAATGGCGACGCGACACGTCAGTGCTGCCCGGCCTGACGCATCGATCCTTCAGCCCAGGCGCTTGCAATCGAGCTGCCGAGCGCGGACTGGTTTGCAGAGTGAGCGAGTTGAGTGAGTAGGTCTGCAAGTGGCGGGTTGAGATTGCCGGCCCTACCGGCACACAAGTAAGTTCAATGTTTCGCCAGCTCGTCTCGCCGCTTCACTAACTGCTGGCTTAGCTCAGCTTCGTGACTTTCTCGTGAATGTCGTCGGGATGATGATGTTGGTGGTGTTTGGTGTTGGTGGTGGCGGGCAGGAGTTGTACTGCTGAGTGGTAATGGTGTTGGCAGGGCCGCCGAACTCAGCTGATTTCACTCGTGCTGTGCGTGCCCTGCTTGTTAATAAAGCATTGCCCGGTGGCTTCTACTGCTTCTACTGCTGCCTTTGTGTGATGATGGCTCAAGGAATGGCCGGACTCTTGTTTAGTGCTTGGAAGCCGCGGTGTTGGAGATTTGATTTCCGCAATGCCACCAATAAACAGGTCCACGTGTACCTGTTTATTGTGTACACTGGTGGTGCAGGTGTGCACGATGTCACTGGTTACATAAAGACAGATCTCCTCCCTCTCTCCCGTGTAGCCATAACAGACTGTAGGGGCAAGTGCTGTTAGCGAGTAGCACCTATGAAGGCCGGCACGGTACACGAGGGGGTAGGTGGCCAGCACCACGCCCGGCCGCCTTTGTCTCCCCAGTGGCGATGTTTACTTCACACCGCACCAGGTACTCATTTGAGGTCGAGGTCGACCTAGGAGAAGCCCAGGATCGGTTCAGATAATCGTCACTGGTGGTAGACTACCATAACATATACAATACTTAAATGGGTTCTTCTTGGGATATTTTGTTGACTTTGTCTGCCTTTCCAGGTGAATTTCACTCGGTTCGATCCTGAGCCATCTCCATACCATAGAGCGGTGGTGGTTACCAACCCCTCTGGACTCTTGGGACAACTGAACCCTGTGGCGGTACCCAGGGGGTCAAATAGTACCCTGGGGTCAAATAGTACCCAAGGGTCAAATAGTACAACGGGGGTCAAATAGGACTCCGGGGTAAAATAGTACCGCGGGGTCAAATAGGACTCCGTGGTCAAATAGGACCCCGGGGTCAAATAGGACCCCGGGGTCAAATAGGACCCCGGGGTCAAATAGTACCACACTGCCCCGGCTCTCGCATAATGTCCGTGATGCAGTCATTTTTATTAGACGCTTTTATTAAACTCACTCTGTTGTATCCTCAACACTGTCTGTTGTCGTATCCTCAAATCTTGTAACTTAATTTTAACCCACTTGCCAATGTCGCATGGACTGCAAACTTGGTATATGTATGTCATACTGGTGACAATACTATATTCTATCATTAAAAATTTAATATTTTTAAGCAACTTTTTTATATGTTATGTTTCGGCTTGGGTCTAATTGTCCACGCTCAACTCACGTTGGCTGTAAATCATCACGGCACACTTACGTTATGGCAAGCTTCGGGGCCACTTCCTGGAGTCGTGGAGTTCTGCCATTACTCGTGCGGTACATTTCATTAAAGCGTGTTAAAAAAAAAAGCCTTTTTTAATATGACAAGTGTTAAATGATGGGTGCTTCATCGGTAAGGGAGCTAGCCCAGAACCACTGGCATATAGGTTTTAATCTATGTTACAGCCACTTGTGATTTAACTGGGTTCTCAAGTGCATTTGATGCTCTATGCCCAGTCACCAATGACTATGTATGTATGAAAGATTGCAGGTAAAATGTTCAATTTCATTTGGCTGAATAGCAGATCTGTCATGAGAAAAACTATCTCATGGCTGCACGCACACTCAGACACAAAACACATTAATTTGGTTTTCACTTTGGCTATATTCCAGCACTGGAAGCTTGAACATCGGTTTGACTTTCATGGGAAAAAACTCATCGCAGGGTGCATGGGAGAGTTAGAGTTTGTGAGACATCTTGCATAAAATAATAGTTCGACTGTGAGACTTCCAAATTGATTCTTCGTCTAACCACATGGTGCGCTACGACCTTGAAATAAATTGGACAGAACAAAAGATCAATTTTTTTTCGTTTCACACGCACAGTTTATGGCAAACAGGCAGCGAGCCTCACTCATCTTTTAAAGGGCATTAGCGACACTCTTGCAACACGGTAGCCCACCACAGTACACCCGAACAAACTCGCTATCCTCAGGGGTGTAACGATTCACTATACTCCCCCACCCTCCACTCCCCAAAGAAAGTGTCCCAGAAATAAAATATTGAATTGCCTCGACCATTTTGTATTATTTGGTACCCCGGGGTACCGCCATAAGGATCAATTGTGAACCCTAAAAAAAAAATAGAGGACCAACCGCTCAGTACAGCGGTGGCTGTGCTCGTGAGACATCCAGCTCGTTAGAAAAGAAAGGACACCACATCGAGGGAAGGAGAGAGACACCGAGAGGCACACCCACGCACAGAGAGACAGAGAGAGAGAGAGACATATAGAGACACACAGACACATAGACACAGAGACACAGAGAGAGAGGGAGACACAGAGAGAGAGGGAGACAGAGAGGGAGACACAGAGAGGGAGACACAGAGAGAGAGACACAGAGAGAGAGACACAGAGAGAGAGACACAGAGAGAGAGAGACATATAGAGACACACAGACAGACACATAGACACAGACAGAGAGAGACACAGAGAGAGAGACACAGAGAGAGAGAGAGACAGACAGAGAGAGAGAGACAGAGAGAGAGAGAGACACACAGAGAGAGAGACACAGAGAGACACACACAGAGTGATTCCAGCAGGAATCACGATTCCTCTGCAGTCGACTATCATGCTTAAATCTTTACTTGAGTGGCATTCACACACAGATTCTGCCATATAAGGAATTACCCAGTAGAAACCCATCCATCTCCAAATTGATAAGGTTTAGTGGGAAATCCAGCATGGTTGCCATGTATTTCACTGGCAATTTTACATGGCCAGCCAGGCCCAATGGACCTTCACCTCTATAGCCTGATAGCCATGCCTGAATCAGGGTGGAATCAAGCCAATTCACTGCATGAGACATTGACCATACATTTCAATGGTGAATCGGGTCAATACTAATCAGCTGGTATTGAGGTCAAGTTCATCCAGTTGGTGTTGACCAGATTAACCATTGAAACCTCTTATATCAACATTTACTGAATTCACCAAGCCAAGCCATTGCACGAATGCCACTCGTGGCTTCACACAGCCTGGCTCCCCCTTGATCCTGTCCTGTACAATCATTTTAATTAATGTACCATCCAAGCAAATTGCCCAAGGGCTGCATTGTGAGGAACAGAGGGTAATACTCGTAATGCTCCCATGTCTATGCTGCCAGCCTTCACCAACCCACATTGACCAGCTTGGTGCAGTATTGTCAAATAATACCCACAACCCACACGGTGTGAGGGAGGTCTGTATCCAGTAGTGAATTACATAAGTGCTGTACAAGTACTATGCAATTCATGTAAAGCCGTTTGTGACATTGATCTTCTGAAATGTTGTTTGGCATTTCAGTTTCCTACAATTTTAAGTCTTCTATGATAAATGCCAGCAATATTTTACGTAACTGGTATTTCCGATGCGGAAGTCATTCGCTTTGTGGTATTGTATGCATTCATGTTTATATTATAATAAAGTATTCACTACCATGCTGTAGCAATTTGTATTGCATTTACAGGAGGAAGCACCATACAAAGAGTGAGAGAAAAAAGTGGACATTTTGCAAGACGCAGAGGGAACATGTCTGGATGGTGTGCACATCAGCAGGGCAACCTCACGAGTGCCTCGGCCATGCTGCTCCGGTTGCTCCTGCTGCTCTGTTTCATGGCACTGGTCATAGGGGATGACGACTACTACCAGAGGCTGGACGTTGCACGTGATGCCAGCAGCAGGGACATCCGCAAGGCCTTTAAGAAGCTGGCACTTACCATGCATCCTGACAAAAACCTGGTGAGTTTTTAATGGTGAAGTTTTTTTATTATTAATTTACAGTCGATTTTATGAACAGCATACAATTGCAACACCATTTTACTGTGCTGAGGGAAAAAAACTGTGGATCTTTGTATAATATATCTCATGATGTAGTGTGTGTAATGTGCTGCATCGGTGTCTTTTAACATTTGGAATAAAGAACATTGATTCAGTTGCATTCAGTGTTTTTTTTATATTTTGTAATACTACTTTTTAAACTGTGATTGCCTTGGTTTTGAGAAGTAAACAGTGGTACTGTAATTGGCTCATGCACATCTGGCTGTGCTTATTTTATACGTCAGCATCATATTTATTACGCTATCCACAGGAGACAATTGAAGCTGCGTCATGCGGTGAAGGTTTGCGTGGCACTTTCGGAGGGCCTCTCTTGCAAATATTTGCCTTCGGGGTTTATTGTCATACTCGGTACTGTACCTTGTCCATTGCATTTTCTTGCAAATTTAGAGTTGGTCAGGAAAAAGGAAAGTGAAATTTCAAACAACAACTACATATTGTTCAGCAATAACGCTAATTATAATATATGGGCGATGGTAAAAAGGTTAGCCTACCCTTCAGTGGGAGTGTTGTTTAGCTATAGCCGTAAACTGTGATGAGTTCAGCCTCACCTGCTCCACAAAGTAGGGTATTGATTTTCACTGCCAATGCTGAGGCTTGTTAAATGAGCTGTAGAGAGGTGGAATAGCCTGTGTGATTGTCTTGGTAGGGCCCTTAAACGTTGTGAAGGGCTCTTGATAAGAACTTTAAAAGGATACAGCAGGGTAATTTGGCCGTTGCCTCTGTGACCAGTACGTTTTGATGCAGAAAATAAAGAATTGATTTTAAATTTGATCAAAGAAATGGATCAATTGGGCAATGTAATAGCAATAACTTTTTTTTATTGCTATGTGACAGAAATTAATAATATAATGTTTTATATAATGGAGTTGAGCTTTTGACACATTGTACACCATCTTGTTTGTGTACATTTCATAAATACCTAAAAATAGGACATTTTAAATGTTTTGCTTTAGCCACAATACCTGCAATAAAAATGCTTGACGTAGAGTATTGTGCAACAACTCAAAAATATATTACTGTAGTACAGTGTTTTAAATTTACATATTGGAGATTCAGTGATGAAATCGGCCCATGTACTGGACCTATTTGGTTTTCTGCTTCATGAAACCTTGAGGAATGGCTCGAGCTGGGCCAAGGCCTTCTAGCAGCAAATAGATCATGTCTGATAATTGTGGGTTTTTAAATTATCCAGATGCAAGTATTCCGATTCATTAAAGTGTTGGCACAATTATGACACCATACCATTGTGTAAAATCTCTCAAACGTGTGTGCATTGTTAACTTACAAACGCTATGACCAACATAAGTACTGAAATAAATGCTGAGTGCTGGTGTGGTTTTCTTGCAGGCATTTTGTTTGCACCCGAGCAGCAGCTTAGACGACGACAAATCAACACTCGTTGAGAGGAGCAGCTTGGTTGTTTTACTCGTTATTCAATAAACTTTTGATGCTGTTTTGCTGACCAGGATGATCCCGATGCTCATGAAAAATTCCTCAAGATCAACCGGGCATACGAGGTATTGAAGGACGAAGAGCTGAGGAAGAAATACGACAAATATGGCGAGAAGGGTTTGGATGATCAACAGCAGGGTGGCCGCTACGAGAGCTGGAACTTTTATCGCTATGACTTTGGTAAGGGATGCTGAAAGGTGCTTCAACTGCACAATCGTTTATCAGAATCTTTATAGTCCATGGGCCAGTTTAAGAAATTGGTACCACTTACGGTGCCAAAACGCTTATCATACCATTGCATTTATATGGCTAATAATAGTAAATCAAACTTTTTTTTAAGCTTTCGTTGACTGCAGGAATTACTCTTTGGTTCTTTCGGTAAAGTCACGTAGAAAGAAAATAAATTAACTAATAGAATAGTAAATAATTTGATAACCCACTCATTTCTAATGGCTATCAAATGGCTGTTATTGGCCAAAATGAAATTGGAACTGCTAATGTTATGCCGCCTCAGGTGGCACGGCAAGTGAAATATCTGGTCTCATGGACCATTAGAGACAACGTTATGATTTAAACTAGGCTCTCTCAGCCCTTTGATCACCAGGGCTACTTTTATTGTTTGTTGACTGCTATGCCACAGCTCTCAAATAGTGAAATATATGTTGTGTAGATGTTATTGTAGAAGTATTGTAAACATCTTTTTTTTCTCCTGATGACAATTGCTTGTGTTGCGATCAAAACGTCGTGATATTTGTATAATTTTTTATTCACTTTATTTTTATTATTTTGCCTACGTGACTTTACCGAAAGAACCATAGAATATGAATTCCTGCAGTCACGAAAGTTTTATGTCAAAATTGGCAACGCTATCACCTTTTGCCACCAAACCAGTGTGGGTGCATGGGCATAATCTCGTGAGGTCAGACCGTAATATCAGTGCCGGAACTCCTAATGCTTCTTAACCTTGTAATTATGTCTGGACTGCCTAATGATCAGTATTCACTCTTGATGGTCTAAGGACCCCAATTGAAAAAATTGGTTTAACAATTTAAAGAGTATCCAAATATCCATGCCACGTTTTGAAATGGTGTAACTGTTTTGTATGTTTTTTTCTCCGACCCATAGGAATTTATGATGACGATGCAGAAGTTCTGACACTTGACAGAGGAGAATTTGGTACGATATAGACTTAGAATCATAAACAACCAAATATAAAATGTAAAAGTCTTTATTTAATTGGTCCCCTGAAAAGAAATGTTTTGATAATTATTAAATGCAGCATTCGCCCAGGTCTATGTTGGGTTTCGTGTTGTTTCTCTGGCTGTGTTCGTGAGTGTACAACTATGTGGCATGTGTCCACAGCAGTCAGCACTTTGGTATTTCCTGTAATTATCTGGTTGCCACTCTTAAAACCTAAGTGTTGTGCAATCTTTGAGACCAATTGTACTAAAGCATTTGGCTGCATAATAGCAATGCTAAAATGTGTATTTCTTTATCTTACTATTACTGCCCTACAGTAAAAAGCCATATAATTGCTTTATGTGTAAAAGTATTGCACGAATGCTTTTGAAATAAAATAAAATCCCCTCAAATGAAATTTTTTTTTAGTCAAAATTAAAATATTTTCAAAAGTTTGTTTTTCATTGAAAAAAAACAATATAACAAATGGAGATGTAAAAAACAGTAGTGCAATAACTTGTTTAATTATTTACTTTATTTAAGTGCTTCCATTTGATTGTAATTCACAGATGCTGCAGTGTCTTCAGGGGAATTATTTTTTGTAAACTTCTACTCACCACGCTGCTCTCATTGCCATGAGCTGGCTCCTATGGTACGTTCCCTCCCCCCTCCCTCTATATGCAGCATATTGCGCGGACTTTATATGTGGGAAGGTGTGCATGCACACATGTTGTGTCACAACACCGGTGTTTGAATGCCTTCATCATGATTCTCTGTTATAACCCCATCCCTACCCCTTGATGTTTTCCTCTTTTTTTCGTTTTAAGTGGCGAGAATTTGCCAAGGAGATGGATGGTGTGATCCGAGTGGCGGCGGTGAATTGTGGTGATAACCGCATGATGTGCCGCTCCAAGGGAATCGGAAGCTATCCCAGCCTGTACGTCTATCGGGCTGGAATGGTAGGTTGTGTTCTGCGTCTACAGGGGCATGTTAATTAGGGCACATTAGTAGAACATATTGTCGCTGGGGACAGTTGTGTTTCGCCCTGGCACTTTATCAACGTTTGATTAGACAATAATTGACAATGTCACCACTTGTCATAAACGCAGTATATTATTTTAACATATCCAAAATCCCTCTTGATCGTTTAATAATATTCCTTCAGGTATGTGTATTGATTTTTTTAAATTAAATATGTTTTATAGCATTAGAAAGCTGGGTAATTATATTACAAGATGGGAAAGCCAGTGTGAAAAGTAACACTTTGCTTAGTCAATGAAGGCATAAATTGTCTTTCTCCTGACGGTGATTTTTATACTAATGTCCTCTTTAATATACCGCCTATAAATACATTCTCATCAGAGTCCTGCGAAACATCAACGAAATGTAAATATAATGTACAGTATGGATATATTCACTACCATATTCATGACGGCAAAAAGCAAAACGTTGATTTGAGCACCCTTTTCAAATGTAATGGTTTCTTGTTTGTAAAGCTGTGATACGTCAGGGTTAACATATTTAATAATTTTACAAGGTGACCATACTCTCGTTCATCAAATATACAAACTCATGCCCACATGAAATTTAAATAAACATCTACAAATTAACTGGGTGATTGTGCTTGTTGTGTTTCCCGTATTTCAGCAACCAGTGAAGTACTCGGGAGACAGGTCTAAAGATGACCTGGTCAGATTTGTCATGAAGTACGTAACCAGTAAAGTAACGGAGCTCTGGGCTGGTAAGAATCTCATGATGAGGTTAATATTTGAAATGCTCTTGGTAATGTTATTTTATAATGTATTTGTGTATGGATTAATGTGACATTGATTATGCTTGAACATGAATTGCATTAAATATTCATATTAGCGGCAAATTAATAAATGTCAATAAAGCAAACATTTCCTTTATAAATGAATTTTAATTCCAAGCCTGCATAATTGAAAAATAATTTTCCTTTTCCCCCGTAAATATATGGGTAAAAATATACTTTATAGAGGGAGAGACAAAGCAAAGAAATATGCAGAACATCAGATAAAGCAAGGGTAAAGCAAAACTGTGGAACAAGATCAGAGAAAGGCAATGCAGTGGTACTTTTCGTAAGCCTGGTGTAATTACATTGCCACCGAGATTTTTACACACTATATCGTGTTCCGGATTCTCTGCTTTTAAAATTTCACATTGGAAACCTAAAGTGAGATAAATAAAAGAGGAAATGTGTACACAGACACGGGAAGAGATTAATTAGTTTCTTCTGCTTCTGCATCTGTGTGCCTTACTAAATACCCTCTATGCTCTTTGAAACAGAGGGAGCAATCACAGAGAGTGATTGAAAAAGAGTTAAACACATACAAATGAAATGAGGGGTGTCAGCAGTGACCATACTGAAATAAAGGTTTTCAGCCTGATATTTGTTTTAATTCTCGGTCATGTTCTTTATTCATTATAAATACATGGATTTGCTGTCTTATTATTGTGCCTGTGAATACTTTACTTACACTGAAAATGAATGTATGAATCTAATCCTTGTAACTATCAGTGTTCACGGTTCATTAATATTGCATTCCGTCATTCCCTGCCTCTCATGGGAAATGACATTTTAATGGTCATGCAACATCATCTGGCGTGCTTTGTCTTGTGCAGGTAATTTTGTTAATGCTTTCGAACAGGCTCGATCTACAGAGACAGGCTGGCTCCTTTCCTACTGCTCGGACATCGGAGGTAATTGGCCCTACCTTGAACTATATTAATCTCATGGTGACCCCGGACAGTTGAGAGTGCAATGTTTCCACTGTGTGATTTCATGGAAACAGCAAGCATCGTGATGGCTTTGAACTAGCAATGTACTGTAAATGAATAACTATATATATTCCCTATAAAAAGGAAAGTTAGGTTTGTCTTTGTAGTTTGGCAAGTTTAAACAAACTAAATCAATCTTTGTTTCTGAGTAACCTTTTACTTTAGCTTAAAGAAGCTCTGTTAAAAGTGCACGTTTTTATTGGTGGACTCCAGTGCTGGCTGTACTGTTTGTTGACTGTAGCCAAGGCATTTTCAGACCTTTTTAGGGCCTTAATTAACTGCAGTCTTCATTCTAAATAATCTTGGTAAATCTCCCAAAGGGGTAAAAAGCATTGCTATATCTGGGAGGTTTCCCTTACCCCCTGGCATTAATTACATCACTGCTGATGCACACATTTCCATGGTGCTAAATCGTAGAGGTGTTTTGTTATTACCGCTTGCGTATTTGGGAATAAACAAAGGGGCTGAGGCTTGCTGATTTACAGCCTGGAAAGAAATAATATTCCATTAAAAAAAAATGAATTTATTACATGGATGCTTTCATTGTTAGTCTCCAAGGTATTTTAAATCTCACCGCATTATTACCTTAATTCTAACCTAATATTTTGGTGTATTTACAGTGTCGCCTTACTTTATATCATAAATGTAAAGAGTTGTGTAAAACAATCCTGGTTTTTCATGGTATTGCATGTGCTACTCATTTGGTATGAATCAGCCAAATTTCAGATATCATATGCATATCTAGTAAAACCACATGAAACTTCAGTTCTCTTAATATAGAGTTTCCATATATGCAAAGTTCTGCTTTTCAAGGACAGTAGTTTGCTTAGCCAATGACTTAGGGACATGTGGGTTGACAAATAAGTTTTTTAGCCAACGTGTGGTTTTGTCATGGTCAAATGACACTTGTACGAATGTTAATCATTTCCATACATACGCAGTGTTGCAGTCATCCTCGTGCCATGTGTTGCCATGTGTAATATTGGATACGTGTAAAAAAATTCCATTGGAAGTTCATAATCGCGGGTGCATGCATTATAGCTCAAACATTCTGTATCCTATTTAACTTTAAAATTCCTTCATTCATGCATAGTGTGTGCACATTGTTTCAGGGTTTGCGTTATATTAGTTTCTTTGGACCTCAAACCCCAGATACACCATCTTGGTCTTATATATTTTTTTGCCCACTGTCCTACACTGGTCAGACTTTTTCTCTTGCGTTAGCTAATATACATATGGGCATAACCTCATATAAATTGTATTATTTATTTAGCTACTATTAGTGTTTATAAAGGTAACACGTGGCAGCTGGATAACACGGCTATTAACATGTGACATATCCTCATATCTCTTGTGATAGCCAGATTCTAAGTGCATGTGCTATGCGGCTGCTTAGAAATGCATTACATGACTGATACAGGATTATATGTAATTTGCTGCTGTAAAACATGTATATCGTTACACTTGTGTGAATTTGTGTATTAGAAATCAGATTCCATGTATTTAATGTGGAGTTTTTTTTCATACATTTCCAGTCCTTTAAATAGAAAATAATTTCAGCACTTCTGTGTATTTTTAAAAACTGTTTCTTTCATCAAGTCCTGCTGATGAGTTAGTCCTACAGAATATCTAACTACGTTTATTTTTGAACGAAACGCATATGTGTTATGTGGATTCTTTTTTTGTCATTTCTCCAAATAACTGACATTGTATAAGCTTAAGGTCCTCTTTGAACAGTTAAGGGATGTTAGACTGGAATAGTCGGTGTGCAAAGTATGTTTCTCTAGGCCACTGGAGGGAGTCTGGAGGCCAAAAGATATATTGGAATGGGCAAACTGTATCCCACTTCAAAGCTACTTACAATCGAGACAGGGAATTGATTGTTAGCAAAGACAAATGTATTAACATGATTAGCGTGTAGTTAGATATTATAGCGAAAAGCAATCTTTCACAATGTGTCATCTCGCATTGCTCTGTTCATACATCACCATGGGAGAGTCGTATGCAATTACCAACTCATCAATTGAAATTATAATTTAGTGTGTGCTATTAAAAGCATACGTTTCATGACATCTAGGGATGGATAAGTCATGCCCTAAAAATTATTCCATTCCAGTATAAATAAAGGAACATTTTACTGGAATGTTTTCCTTTTTTAGGTATGAATGGCTTCAATGGGAAGTTATTGCATGAAGAAATGTGCTCCAAACCTTTATGATGCTGATGTCGTAAAACATTTAGCTCAACCTCAGATGGTCTCTAGAAGGAGCGCTTATGCTGTGTTTTTCAAGTTAACATTGGGAATACCCTATGGCGATCACATATACAAAGTTGAATGTGTTTTCCCCAACCTTTCACCAATAATTTAATTTGTAATTATACATCTGTAAATGGGAATGTTGCACAATACAGATTATAACATTTTAACTATTTGTAAATGAGAAACCATTTTCACAAAGGCTGGCAGCATATCCCTACCGATGCTGATTTATTCCTGAGTTCCAATCGGAGATTAAGTATAAACAGGAAAATCAGTATTTGTGACTCTAAACTAAATCTCATTCTACATGGCCTTCATGTCAAGATCTGTCTCAGCTTTGTAGGCCTAGCAAGTCCAAGGCTCGATGAGTAAATCACTGACAGAGAGGCAGCCAAAATTATTTTTTCCCTGAAGGATGTGTCAACCATGTGTTTGCAATGCTTAGACCAGGAGTCAATTTTTTCATTAAATCACAAACTTTGCGAAAATTTTCCATTTGCAAAAACCGGAATATGGCCAGTTTATAATACCATACTTCTTTTACTGTTAAAGATGCTATGTTAACAATGTCATATTCGTTTTCTGTAGAATATCTAGACGGTGTAAACATACAACAACCAGGTGGTTGGGTTTCTCCAAAGGAAGTCTGCTGTTTTTTTATATCATATATATTTGTATTCTGCCTTGTGTATTTTGGTATTGCAGATTGCTTATCTCAGCACACCAGACGTAAGCTCGCTGGAATGTTGGTGAGTGATACGATTTGTTTTAGTTGTCATGAATTTGAGTTGGCTTATTCAACTAATGAAATAATCTAGCGGTTTAGAACTGATAAATACATTAATATAATGGTATGGTATTATCAGTTTAATCATGAAGTGTTTTGCAGATATGTCTTGTTTGTGGAATTGTTTGGATGAAAACACCTTGCTTTATATCTCGTATAATGTTGATGGCAGACATTGCATCCCCTTCCCACAGGATGGAATGGCAAATGTTGGCTGGGTGGACTGCAGCACCCAGAAACACATTTGCTCGCAGATGAACATAGAGGAGAGCAAGACGATATTCTACCCACCAGGCGAAAGCCCTATTAAGTCTGGTGAAAATGATGCTGACCATTCTCTGGTATTCAATGCATGCCACTGTAATAACAGCCATAGAGGGTTCACGTGGGGATTGGCTTGCCGGTCCCGCTTTGTAGCCAATAAGGGATGAGCCAGGGAGCATGGCCTCGGCGTGATCGCGGCATGTTAGCAGGGGTGATTGGCCTGGCCAATCGGGGCCTCAGCTAATGGGGAGCCGAATCAGAGGCGTGGTCCCGGGATTGACAGGGAACCATCGGGAACGGTCAACGCTGTCTACGGAGGATTGGCTGGGGGGTACCACGTGACGAAGGGATTAAGAGAGAGAGAGAGCGGTCGCGAGCAGACTTGGGAACGACAAGAGCGGGAGTCGCGCGTACGGGGGCTCTGGGTACCACGTGCGCGGTGGGGACTTGGCGGGAAGTCTGCCCTCTCTCCGTTGTCTGTCAGCAACGGGGAGTGTGTGAAGTGTAACTGTGGAAGTTGAAAATAAAAAGGACTGATTCCGGAAGCCGTCTCGAAGGTTTATTACACCACTATGGGAAAGCTAATTCCTCCAACAATGAACCCTTCAGAGCTTTGGTTAAACACTCGCACAATAAACAATACTTGTATATTGTACTGATCATCATGATGCAGTTGTACATTTGCTGTTAGAGTTGAAATAGCACCTTAAAATTATTTCAGCTTCAGATTAGCTGGTCCTGTACACACTTGCATCAACGACTGGACCTATGATCTCATAGAAACTCTCAAGATGCCTAATTAATAACAATGAAAGTATGAACTTTAACCTTACACCATTGTGCTGTGTGTTTGGTGACAGTGTCGTAAACTGAAAAAATAGGCTTTATAATAAGTAAGAGCCTGTTAAATTAAAAATCTATATTTCTATCACATTAAAGTCCTTTCATAATATTTAACTTCCTTTGTATTTGTCTCCAATAAATGCTCACGCAATCATCTTAAACCCGTTTTAAATGTAATTGTGACGCCAAGCAAAGCTTGAGTATAGTATGGTTATAATATAATGCTTTAGCAAACAAGCAAATTGATCAGCTGGGAAATTTTCAGAGATGTGAACAGCCATTCCTCAATATTTGTTTTGCCTCATGTCATAATGATAGTGCTCTTATGAAAACAAATGTTTGAAATGTAATGTGGTAAATTGTACAAAACGTGTTACTACATTATAAATACATACTTAATGCCACCATGATGTATTCGGTGTAGGTTCTGACGAGTCTTGATGCCAAGGAGATTTATATATCTGTGATGCAAGCCCTCCCTGCTCTGAAGAAGCTTACTGGCGCCGACATGAAGGTGAGAAAGGCAACACGGATGAGCATCTTGCTTTCCATATTTGTAGTCGTATATATGCTTATATAACAATGGTGACTGCACTGATGCATTATCTCGTTCCAAAACAGATCCTGCAAAGTCCTTGGCTCATTTTCATCGTCTTTGGAGACAAAGGAGAGGCAGGAGATTACGAGTTCAAGAAACTAAATACACTGCTCAAATCTAAAAATATAAAGGTGTGAATATCACTGTGTTTTGCGTTTATATATATAGCTTTAGTTACATGATATAACAGTCTCTTAAAATAAAATGTACCTTTAAATAGCTATTATCATATCGAGTGGAATATAGTTTCAGTTTATAGTGTCAACATACAAGGGTGTACATATAATTTGTCGAGCAGGCAGAATAATAAAATGAGCATGAGGTAAGAAGCAGATACACATGAAGTAAATGCAAATTGTCAAAGTGGAAATTTTTTTGTATAAAATAGTTTAATAAATGGACTGGCTTCATGCAAGGAAGATTTCACGAACAGCATTCTGCAGTTGAGATTACATGTTTCATATGCAAAGGTGACACAGGTGGTAGTGGTTGGGGGGGGAGTATTATTTGTACAAAATGTGAACAAGTTGTTGAGGTCAGAATAATGTTTGCAGTCTTATGAAACCAAAAATGGTACTTTAAGACAGTATTGAAGGTGGCTGGCTGGGATGAGGAGGCGAGAGCCAATTCTCGAGTGTTCAAACTGAATTTTCATTTTCCTGATTGACTAAAGCAAAATAAAAATCTATTTGAACGTAATAGAGGGTTCTTTTAAATCACTCCATTGTCAATATTGTTCCTTCACATTTTTGATTGGTTTGTCTGCTGTTTATTTTTTTATAGTAGTCTTTCATTATATAATTTAAACGTGATGGTAATTATGTACGTGTTGCATTGCTGTTTGATTTATGTGATTTTCTTTTTTTTACAATCTGAAACATAATTGTGCTAACTCACAAAATGCTCATTCACAGGTTGGAACACTCGATTGCAATCCATTCCCTTACATTTGTGACCAACTGTACATCAACAGCCGGGCAGTTGTTGTATTTAAAGGAAAAGGTCTCGATGAATATGAAATACACCATGGTAAGCTTAAATATTAGTTTCAACGTTGCTTTGAAAACTTAACAGTATGTGTTGCGTACATGACACGCTCGGTGAAATTCATTCATTGCGAGGTCTTTTTTACCCCCCCCCCCCACGCAGGTAAAACTACACTGTATGAGCTCGTATCCTTTGCGAAGGAGAGTGTCAACTCGTTGGTACACACACTCAGCCCAGAGACCTTCCCGGAGAAAGACAAGGAACCCTGGCTGATCGACTTTTTTGCGCCCGTATGATTTTTTTTATCTCTCTTCTGGGGTTACACCAGTTATGAAACTGTAAACAGATAAGGGTCTGGTAATTGTTGTCTATCACTCATTACCGACTATGTTTGAAGCAGTGTCGTCGTGTGGAAATGTAGTTTGGCAGCCGTAGCGTGGTTTGTGTACTGCACTACAAGCCCAGGAACTTAAGATCAATTCCCAGCCCCACACATCAACGGGAAGTAGTATCTGAAGCTACTTTGGGTCTTCCCTAGGTCGCTTTAGCCTTAAGTGACATGGTGCAATAAGGTTGGCTGCTGTGCGGTCCTCAATTGTCTGCCTAACGGCCCTTCCTGCCAGATTGCCTAAGGATAAGCAGGTGACCTTTGTTTTTTTTTGTCCGTGTCCTTCCCACAGTGGTGCCCTCCATGCAGAGCCCTCCTGCCAGAGTTGAGGAAGGCCTCCCGACTGTTGACAGGACAGCTCAAGTTTGGAACTATCGACTGCACCATTCACAGCAAGATCTGTAACCTGGTGAGATTGTCTATGACGGTTGTAGTGTGAGGTGGTCTGCATGTTTTAGGTTATTTAATTATCACTTTGGACTTTTAAGTGCAGTATCTTGGTATGCGTGTACATTCGGGAAAATTGTTTTGCTTTAATACACAAGTAAAAATATTCCTTTTATGTGTTCGGTAATGTCAGGGATGCATGCAAGCAAGTGTAAATATCTTTACATTTCTTTAAAGATAGTGTAATTGTTTAATGTGTTTTATAGGTACTTTCTATTCATTAGCTATGCTGTTTAACCATATATATGTCATGTTTAGAAATACATTCTAGTATGTACAGTAATGCTTTGTCCAGAGCTAAAGCATTTATTTTTCTATTTGAAGAAATATTGCTGGTGTATTACGTAAATATCATTACTCGTGTGCCATGCCTCGTGTTCTGATTATTGCAACAAAATGACATGTAATTTGAATGCTTTAACAGCTGTAAGCATGACATCAGTCTGAATGAAACGTTTTATTTTCTCTGCAGTTCACTTTCTCGGTCACAAATTACATGATGGGTTTTGTAAAGCTAATAACATATCATTTTGTTCTCTGTGCTGAGAATCCAGTGACACCAATCATAAACTATGCTGTTTGTCTTTGAACTTTGAAAGCATGTTTGTTTTTGCAGCACGGGATCCATGCGTACCCGACAACACTGATATTTAATCAGAGCAACATCCATGAGTACAATGGACAGCACAGTGCTGAACAGTTGATGGAATACGTACAGGTACATAACACTGTACAAGAAGCATTCTCATTTTGCTTAAACTTTATAGATGTTCGTCATCTATTAACATCCTAATATGTGTCTGATGGAATCTAAGTTTTGATTCAAGATGAAACAAATATTCATGTACATTCTAAACTAACTTGCCTATCCACGGACATTAAGCAAGTTTGATAAAGGTGTGGTCTCTTCTACTGAAGAAAATAATTATACATATATTGTATTTTGCATTGATCACAATTAAAAATATTTTTTACGTCAGGTACTTATAATATCTTGGGGGTGTGGGAAAAACTTAAAAGCTGTATAAAATCTTTAATTAATTGGCATAGATACCAATAGCTAGTGCAGTGTAAACACAAAGCAAGATGTTGTAAAAAAATAGGCAGCTATAAAAAGTTAAATATAACATTCTGGAATGAGTCGTGCATGAAATGGCCTATAGCATATGAACATGTTGGAGGATGCCCTCGTTTTTGCTGTTAACAGGAGAGGATTCAATAATCTAATTTGTGTTCAATATATTTTTTTAAATACAGTGTGGATAAATTGACCATCTCAAGAGTGGGCATGGTTATAGCCACTGTTTATATTGTCACTATATTGTGTTATTTTTGGCTTTGTCGTAATTACAAAAATGCAGACATAACTAATTATCTTAATATGGCTTTTCAGGATCTGATGAGCCCATCAGTGGTCATACTGACCCCAGAGACGTATGCTTCCCTGGTGAAGCAGAGAAAGAGAGATGAAGTTTGGATGGTCGACTTCTACGCTCCCTGGTGTGGGCCCTGTCAAGCCCTCCTTCCAGAGTGGAAGCGGATGGCTCGGGTCAGTGGTGCATTACCTACGCACGTGCGCACGCCTTTTGCAATGGGTACACGGGAGACATGGTTTAGGGTGCATCTGTCTTGCGGGCTCTACTTTTTGACGTTTCTTGTTGAATATCAAATGTATTAAAATGTCAAGTCACAGAATGTTGAACCTGATCGGCAGAATATGTGCTATATGGTAAAGTGACTTTTGAGTACAAAATAGTAAAAATGTTAGCCTTAAAATGAGGTTGCCAAATTAGTTTTTAAGTCCGATCTGGCACAATTGGCCGAGAAGTACTTTGCTATTGTTGTGAATGGATTTCATTGTTTAGCTGTTACCTTCAAGCTGTATTTTCAACCATCATGTTGGTGTTCTGTTAATTCACAAGCTTGAAGTTGCTTTTTCGATAAATGGCCAGGAGGAGGCAATCTTCATCTACAAATGAACAACTGCTTTCATACATTCACACTTTATCTTACACGTATTTTTTTGGTTATTTTTGCTTTTGCATACTCCATGAAGACAACATTTTTGTTCCCAAACAATTGTATTTTATCCATATGCTGAACTTACAATTAATCAAAATTGCATGGAAATACCTTGCAATATACGTTCATAATATAACAATAAATATCTATATGACATAACCTTTTGGAATGTGAATTCCCCCCGAGACCACAAGCACGGTTTTACACTTTTATTTATTAATTTCCCTGCAATTATTGCATTGCCACTCTTTTGTGTGTGTGTTTTTGGGGTTTCTAGATGCTGTCAGGTATGGTGCAAGTGGGAAGCGTGGACTGCCAGAAGCACCATGCCCTGTGTCAAAGTGAAATGGTTCACGCCTATCCTGAAATCCGACTCTTCCCCATGAATCCAGCTAGCTCTGACAAATACTTGTAAGTAGTTTTATACTTTCTTGACTGCTTTACACAAAAACACATATGGTTGTCCACGATAAGTGCTTTGCTTCTTGGTCAAATTTTTATTAAAATCACGATACAGTAAAACCTTGGATTGCGAGTAACTTGGTCTGCGAGTGTTTTGCAAGACGAGCAAATTTTTAAATAATAAATATTAATTTGATAAACGAGCGAGGTCTTGCAATACGAGTAGTATGTGTATACGCTTTGTCTGCCGAGCGTCACGTGATCACAACTTATATACGAGTGCTTTGATATACGAGTGCTTTGGATTACAAACACGTTTCCGGAACGAATTATGCTCGCAATCCAAGGTTTTACTTTAAATGTATTTGCCAGATTATTTCATGAAATTTGAATATATTCACAAGTTATATTTTGATTTTAAATATGATAAATAATATATTTTTCTGACTAATTTCGTGGCAGTATAAGAAAAGCAACTTACAAGCTTGAAATGGCAAGTAGTAGAATAAAAGATAGTAGACGTGGTTCTGATTTGCCTCATACCACTTCATGGTAGGTAAAGTTTCAATCAGGAAGAGGATGTGTCAATGGGTTGGGGACATGTGCAGGGTGGAGAGAAGAACGTTGGAAATATGGGCATTTGAGTGAAAATTTCGAGACTCTGAGCCAAGGGGAAGAGGTTCGGTAGCATAAATAGCATTAGCAATGATGACTTTTTGATTTGTAGAACTCGTACGTTGTGATTTTGTAATGCCAAACTGACAAATATTTTTATTTTTTATTTCAGCAAGTACAGTGGCTGGCACAGAGATGCCAACTCTTTGAAGGGATGGGCTTTTGGGTAAGTAACGATAATGCGTATATGTATTCTCTTTTACCGGCATTAAAATTATTGATAAAAGGCTGTAGTTATTACACGTGATAACAGTTACGTTGTCAATTCTTAACGAGGTGTTATGCACCGGATTTGTTGTACACCTAACAGATACCTGCCTCAAACAGCAGAAGATCTCACCCCCCAGAAATTCAACTCGGAGGTGCTAGAAGGGATGGAGCATTGGCTGGTCGATTTCTATACTCCATGGTGTGGCCACTGCCAAATATTTGCTCCTGAGTTTGAAATCGCAGCAAGGGTGAGTGCCCCATTTGATGACCTCATGTTATTATCTTTGGATATAAAATACACAGTTATATGGATTATATACATTTACAGTACATGTACAATGTTAGTGTGTGAAAAGCAATATTGAGCCGCTGTAAATAAACGTCTGTTGTAATTGCGGAGAATATCATGAATTTGTTGTATTTACGATCCGTTTTGTACGTGGCCTTCAAATTGTGTTTGTTCACAGCTGCTGAAAGGTAAATTAAGAACTGGAAAGGTGAACTGTCAAAATGACCCACATGTTTGCCAGAGCGCTGGTGTCCATGGCTATCCCACAGTCATGTTCTACCAGTATCAGGGGCGAAGCAAGGTGAGGATTTATTTGGAAATTCTATAAAGGGAAGAACTTATGGTTTAACCGTCTTAGCGATACATTGATTAGTTCCACACATACCACCGTCATCCTTGTTTTATTGCACAATTCGTAACATTTTAATGGAACGATGTACAAGAGAAGGATGATGATATATTCATGTGCACCTTTTGATAACTTCACTTGAAATTCCGTTTAACAGAAATAATGTAATGTTTACATATGCATTGAAAAGTCACCCTTTATCAGTTTAATGTTTCTGTAGCTTAATTGTACTTGTACCAAGATCAGGGTAAAAAATAATCTGCCCGAGCCAACTTGCGCTACAGTGAATTTATTGATCATTAATTCTTGTTTGTGCAATATTTTTTTATATCTCATGCAATTCTTGTTTTTTGCTCAAATTTCAACTTGACTAATTGCAGTAATTTCTTTTATTGGTTTTGCTTTTTGTCAAATTGGTGTCCCAGGTCACCCTTGCAAATGAGTATAATCCTGGTCTCTTAGTTCTCACCTCGTTAAATAAATACACTTAACTTGACCTTATTGTATGTGCAATCATACCACAATACTGAGGTCACAGCCAATTTAACCGTGTAGATCAAAGCTCACGTGTATGTATGGGGTGTAGCCTCAACATTTAAGCAACCTTCATATAGGCTGTGTGTACTTATGTATAATCCATGCGTCAACATTTAAACTATCCCAGAGTATAAGCATGAATGGTAAACATGTCAACAACACATGTAACTATTGAATAAAAAAATTGGGTCAAAACTGTAGACACAGACATAGGAATATTTTAACTACACGTGTTGCTATAAATCATGGAATTTGAGTCCATAGGGTTCAGGTACACGTTAAATATTGCTCCTAATTTACTTTAGATTATGGTATATTTGACACATGTGCTTTGGTCGTAACGCCTTAATTTGTTTTGGTGTTTTTCTGTGTTCAGAGGAGTACAGGAGGGGAGGAGATAAACAGTAGAAATGGAAAAGACATAGCCGAGACCCTTCTAAGGCGGGTGGGAGACGTACCCCTACATGAAAGCACCAAAAAGGTACGTGTTATTGTCCATTCACACATACTCTGGTTTGTCACATGTCCAATATTTGCTATGTTGAGTATTCTTACAAGACATCACGTTTAATTTTTGTTTGATGCTTACCAATGTTTTGTGTTTTGTTCTTGTCCAACAGGATGAACTGTGACCTCATGGGGTGTGTCCACCATCATGTGCAATCTTGAAAGTTGTTTGAGATCATTATTGGGTTCAGATGTCTTTTTCTAACATGAAAATTATTCACCGCAGCACATTTGTAAATACGAGAGCATTTCGAAACCAACAGTGGAAACATCATATGCGTTGATTCACCTATTTTGGCAGCAGTAAAAAAATGTGAATACCAATTGTATATTGCTGGTTGTCATTTTTGTTATGGCAAGTATTAAACACCTTCTATAAACGAAACAGACGCATATGCAAAGAGCGAAATGCCTCTTGATAATATTTTTCTCATCATCTTCCTTTGCACAAAGAATTTTGAAAGTGATGTAAAAAATTTGTAACACTCCAAGGACCTTAAGATTTAGATAACATTTTACAATTCGGATATTAAAGCTATGTATTAAACAGTATGTGATATTGAACATGCTGCAATTTTACTGTGTGTAAGGTTAATGCCAGCCAGACTGCAAACAGGATTCAGAATAAATTTCTGATCCTCCAAACAAACCATAAACTGGTATCTCATTTATTCTAGATTTGAAGCTTTCGTGACTGCAGGGATTCATATTTTTAGATTTTTTTCGGTAAAGTCACGTAGGTAAAAAATTAAAATCAAAATAAAACGTATCAGCTATCGTGCTGTGACGGTTCCACCTGAAGACGGAAGCTTGTGTTGCCTCCGAAACGTCGTGATTTTTATTTAATTTGAATTTTTTACCTACGTGACTTTACCGAAAAAGCCTAAGAATATAGTATCTCGTTTACCATTAGCCAATCAATCCACTGCTGGATGAAGGCCTCCCTTAGTCGCCGCCATCCTCCATGGTCCCGCGATGCAACAGTTCACCCAGCACCTGCACACAAGCCATCACTCAATCTCTGTGGTAGATGTCCTCTTGGGCAGATTTTCCTTCTTTGGCTGCCACCTCAAAAGTAATTCTCACCCACCGGGCATCATCCCATCTAACAACGTGTCCTGCCCAAGCTCACTGTTTTTGGCGGTCAACATGTTCTTTAAACTGCATTCTCTATTCCACATGTCCCTCTTTTCTGCGTCTCAGTGTAATCCCAAAGATGCGTCTTGCCATGCTTCTTTATGGACGTTTCAACCCTTGTTCCATCCTGTCCATCAGTGCCCATGATTCTGGTCCATGTCAGAGCAGGTAAATATGCACTGGTTGAAAACTTTCCTCGTGCACATTGGTCTGTTTCTTTTTTATTATCAAATTGTGCTTTCCAACGGGGCTTCAATCCACTTCCATCCGCCTTTTTTGTTATTTCATCCTGATCTCAAGTCCCCCTTCGATTCCTGTCCAAGGTATACATATTCTACATTATTTTTCAGTTGCTTCCCTCCAACAGAGATCTCTAATTTGTTTTTAGCAAACTGGTTTAGTGAACTCAATCATCTTAGCTTTGCTGTTGACAGTCATTACCACTTCCATTGAGAGTGAACTGCGGGGAATGGTAAAATAACTTAATGAAGACGGCTGCAAAGTTGGACTTGGGATTATTATTGCTCCTTTATGAATATGTTGCTTCCCAGCCTCCTGAATTGCGCACACATTACTCTAATACTCTTGCATTTTGGCTTCAGATATTGATATTCAATACTGAATATTCTAGTATTTTTCGTTTATTGAGCTTGCTTTTATTTTGAAGGAAAAAAAAAGGCTCCACATTGACACCTCACAATGCCAGAATATATGTGCAGTGTGTTTTTTAATGTCACTGTATTCTATGCATGGGAGTTCATGCTTCACAAGCAATATTGGTGGCTGGGTTTAACATATCCTTGCCTTGAAATATGGCCATTTTTATCTCTGCAATTAAGATGTGCAAAAAAACCTAAGCTGAGATTGTCTTCATTAATTTTTTTCCCGCATTTTTTTTGTAACTGGTGTTTGTTTTGGTGGACTTATTCTTTGCTAGACTTTGGTTTTGGATACATGTATATACATTGCATTTCAATAAATGGTGGGTTTTACACGTTTGTTGGTTTGTCTTTCCTGTATATCGGTGCAATTTAACTAATTCACTGTAAATGTTTTTTTTACGAATTAACGTTTTATTTGGCTGAGGTTGACTTGGACTAGATTCCCAGTCATGGTTAACAGCAGTGGCAAGTGATATCCGAAATGGTCCTGAGGCACACAAGACCAGCACGGCATCTCGCCATATGTTTCCATTTGACTAATTATATTCCAAATCAAGGTAGACTTGAAGCTTTACTTTCAGTGACGTTTCTTAAATGTATTATGATTCTTTGTTGATGTCTTAAATATACGGTTGCATGAGCAGTACATTAAATATTGCACACGTTCTCAGATACATAGAGTTGTGACCTACAGTATTATTACGGTCAAATAGCTAATCGCTGTTGATAGAAGATTAAAGGATTAATTTTGTGAATACAACTTCAGTAAACATTGCATCGTGAATTCGGCTTTTGGCTGGCCATCCAACAAAGATGTCCACTGCATCACGCGCATTCGGATGTGCTTCTGCGGCCGTCTGGAATGCTCTTCTGATATTAGGAAACCGCGAGAGCTATACACTACTAAATCGAGATTGAAAACTCACTTCTCTAAAACTGACTTTTATGTTTACTGTCATTTATTCTTCCCCCGCACCTCCAATTAGCGTGGTTGGCTATGTGCAGTGCGAAAGAAGTGCTGGTTCTCGTGTGATATTTCCAGATTTTGCTGCTAGATTGCAGACGTTTCACATGATCAAAGGTGGCACCATTGCACCACTACACCATGGTCAAGCCACCATCATCACCTGCTCACGTGTTGGATGCATTAAATTCCTTGGCTGTCAATCTAATTCTTGGCCATCGGCCATCATTCTTAGAAACTTTCCCTGCTGAAGCCCACTTATGTGTTTTTACTGTTTGGGTTACATTTCATCATTAACCTACATACTGTATGTTGTCATCTTGGTGCCACTCAATGTAAAGCCAAGAACGCATCTCGATGCTTTGACAACTTTTTAAATGGCCATGGTTCTGAACCATATGCCGTCGCAAGTAGTACGCACAGATTACAAACTTTCTTTTCGACAAATTGGTGTGTTACTTTTCAATCTCAGCGAGCAGTCATTTTTGTCTGACCTTTAAATACACTTCAAATATATCGAAGGAAGCAGCAGTATGGTGACAATTGTATCATGAAATTGTTTACAAATCATTGGAACACATACAATTGGGATATAGTTATGTTTGAGATGACAAAAATAGACCAGTGGATTATCCATCTTCAACCAACATGTTTCGTTTTGAGAGATTGGCTTGCAAGTAAAAATAAAATACATTTCAGCATCTCTCCTCCCCATCACACTAGGTCCTAAAACTTCCAGCAGCAGTCCTCCACTGTTGGCGATCATATGCCAGATTGTACTGATGTTTCATGTCATTCATCTCCACCTCGCCATCATTCCATCTTTTATCTCCGTTGTCCTCTACTTCTGTTGCCTGCAACTGGAGTTATCATTGCTTTGGCTGGAATCCTGTTACTTTTGCTCGTGGCATTATTTTTGACTACCACCGATTTCATCTGAACCTATCAATTGCAGTATGTACCAAACAATATTGTTCATTATTTTGTTCGTAGTTTTGCGTATACCATGTTTATCTCGTTTACATAGAATCTGTCAATGCTATGTTCAACGTATATTTTGATATTTTTTGGTAATTTATGGGGTTAATTCTAGATTTGAAGCTTTCGTGACTGCAAAATATGTTTAATTTAAACTGCCGCATTTTATGTTCGACAATAATATATTTTAATATTAACTTAGTGTATTATTTGTTGCAACGCACTTGCTTCCTGAAATGTAAGTATTGTCCTAAAATCTGTATAAATGTACTTATGGAATGCCATTGATGAAATGAACACATCACTGCATAAAGGGAAAAGCTCCTGGACCAGATAGTATAACTATCAACATCATAAAAGAAGTTGGATAAACTGCTGGAATACAATTAGCAGAATTGTTCATGAAATGTTTATATCGATATAAAATACGGCAATCAATGAATGCTGTCTCAATCATTCTTCTGTTAAAAAAAAGGATGATGAAACCAACTTAAAGTATTCCATACCCATTACCCTCTCATCTCACCTATTGAAGTGTATTTAGAGGTTTGAAATTTGCATGCAGAAGTCATTAATTTAATCAATTAATGCAGAGTTAAATGAATTAGAAGGATGAACATATGTCAAATTGGTCATGTTTCTTATTTTTTGTACATTATATATGTACATCCTTCACGCTTAACATAATGAACTCACCTTTCAACACAGATACAAGCGAGTCTGTCAATCTTAAACTGCACTTCCATCCACAATTCTCTTGGAGAGATCTTAACTCTTCATTTACTGTGGGAAAAAAAGTTAATCAACAATGAACTAGAATATAATAAGGTTTTTCCCCTTTTTTTTCTGGCAACAAAACTGAAACCTTTTTACAAGGATTCATGTCTGCATTAACCACAATACTTGCAGTCAAAAAACACACTATGATAATATATGCCAGAAAAAAGGGGAAAACCCCTATTATTATATTTTGGTACTGGCAAAGAAGATCCAATGATGTAGATGCTCACCCAGAGCCCTCATTACTTTTATAGTGCATTGTCTTTGAGCTGTATGCCTTTTGGTGTCCTCTGGTCGAGCACCGATTGGGTCGAGGCTCAAAAGAAAGCCGTCCATTGGTGTGGATCAATCAGTTTCAGGAACAATGCATTTATTATCATAGTGGTTTTTTGTTTGCATTTTGACTGCAAGTATTGTGGTTAATGCAGACATGAATCCTCGTAAAAAGGTTTCAGTTTTGTTGCCAGAAAAAAAGGGGAAAAACCTTATTATTGAAAATGTATTATGTTTAATTCCATGAAACAGCACGTGGTCGAAGGAATGTGGGTGAAAAGGCTTCCATTAAAACATAGCATTAAACAATTTTTCTAAAAGTGTAGAAAAAATTGACATTCCAATGAGTTAATCTAAGTGATTAGTAAATAATCATTCATCATGGTATGCTTTTTAAGTCGCAATGAACTATGGAATGATAGAAAAGGCTTTACCGTTTCGGGCATAAATACAGGTGTTAAGATGTGCAAAACACCAAATAGGCATCTATTAAAAGGCGTGAAGTCAGCATTTGGTGTTGGAACATCTTAACGCCTGTATTTATGCCAGAAAGGGTACAAACCTTTTGTATCGTTTAACACCTTGATACTGCCAAAAAGGGTCCCGTAGATAACTGCTTATCCTGAGCCGTTAATGCTTTTTGTGCACGTATTACTGCACTTGTTTAACTAGAGAGGTAAATGTAAAAAAACACAAGCTTAAGTTTTACAATGTAATACTGGAAATGTTGGTCCATTTAGAATCATGTACAATAATTTGCTATAATCTTGGTTACGTGTTGAATATGTAAATTCTATTAAATGTGCATTGGAAATTAAACGCATTTTGCATTATTATATGCACGCTACACTAAACATAATATGCGTGTTTTTTACAACGTGTTATACTTTAGTGTAAGCATGTATTCATGATAATTGAAAAACTCCAGAACCACTAATTTTTTTTATTCATACAACTATGGCTAAACCATCCATTATTTGGCAGATAAAAGCCTTTGCACCTAAATAAGCTGGGCAATGCATTCTAGATTTGAAGCTTTCGTGACTGCAAGAATTCATACTCTTAGGGTTTTTTCGGTAAAGTTTTCTATTATTTTAATTAATTATTTTTTACCTACTGGGCAAAGTAACTTCGGTTTAGCATTTTCAATCCAAAACGAGACCATGGAATTAAGCAATGACTGCGTAACTTTATGCACATTAAATTTCGATGTAAAGCTTTCGTGACTGCAGGGATTCATCTTCTTGGTTCTTTTGTTAAAGTCACGTAGAAGGGAAATAATACAATAATAATAAAACATACTAAAATACAATTCTCACGACGTTTCGGCCACAACGCAAGCAGCCGTCCTCAGGTGAATAACAGGTCTGTCGTGACTTTACCGAAAGAACCAAGAAGATTTATGCACATTGTCGGGGACCTTCATTGGCTCATTTGACGCGTTGGTGTTAACAACCGCATTTATATGTCTGGTAATGATCCTGCTGCTTGTCCAGGATCACCCCACACCGAGGTCCCGTGGAGCCCCGAGAGTTTTGCTCAGCATTAGGTAACGTCTGCTAGGCATCCCGGGCTACGTGCTCTGCCCTTTGCCCGCATCCTCCCAGCCAGAGCTGTCAGGCAGAAGTACTTAAATTGTCCTCATAAATGCAGCTGCTGCTGCTGCTGCGACAGTGCGAGTGTCCGTGCGCTTGGTGTGGGCCCCTTGCCCACAGAAGCACTGCACAAAAGGCTCCTTTGTGGGACTCTTATTTTTTTTGTAACCCAGGCAAGGATTTAAGAGGAGTCCCGCTCACGCCGAAGACGCTCAGTAATCTCCAGCCCGCCGGCTTCTATGGAAACGGACCAGAAAGCGGCCAGCGGAGACCCATGGGCATCGTTCTACCCCCCCCCCCCCCCCCCCGTTGTATTGCAGGCAGATTAAAATGTCTCCTTCCAAAAGGACGTACTGCAGATTTTTTTTGTCAGGCTGACTCTTTAGCAACGAGAGAATTACGGTGTAAGATCTGTACCGTGGAGTGACATCTGTACCATCGCAGAACTCCCATGAGATAGAGCCTAACAGCTCATTGAGACCTTCCTGGTTAAATAAATCAACGAATAATTAAACTGTTAATTAGATAACTTTATAAAGCTTTCCGATGCCCACCAATGTGGCATGGCACTAGTTCGAGGATTGAACTACATTTGTAGTTGATGAAATTCAGCTAAATAGATTTTAGCAAAATGCAATTTTGGACATTTCTCTGTATTTTTTACATTTCTCATGAACATTTGGCTAAGCTTGTATTACAAATAACAGTAGATTACTAATTTAAATCGTGTTTAAGATAGT